GCATTGATATCCTGGGTCCCTTCTTAATAATGGTTTATGGACCTTTCCTCCAGGAACTTGTCCAAACCTTTTTTAAACCCAGCTACACTAACAGCCTTTACTACATCCTCCGGTAACAAATTCCAGAGTTTGATTACACGTTGAGTGAAAAAATATTTTCTTTTATTAGTCTTAAATAGTTTACCCTGTAGCTTCATTGCATGTCCCCTAGTCTTTCTATATTCTGATAACGTAAACAATCGATCTACGTTTACCCGTTCCACTCCGTTCATTAATTTATAGACTTCTATCATATCTCCCCTCAGCCGTCTCTTTTCCAGGTTAAAGAGCCCTAACCTTTTTAGCCTTTCTTCATAGGAGTATCCTTCCATCCCCTTTACCATTTTGGTGGCTCTTCTCTGAACCTTTTCTAATAACGCTATATCCTTTTTAAGATACGGCGACCAGAATTGCACACAATATTCAAGGTGCGGTCTCACCATGGAACGATATAGAGGCATTATAATATCTTTTGTTTTATTTTCCATTCCTTTCCTTATCATACCTAGCATTCTATTTGCTCTCTTGGCTGCCGCTGCACACTGGGCCGAGGGTTTTAACATGGTATCCACAATGACGCCTAAATCTTTTTCCTGGGTGGTGGTTCCTAATGTGGAACCTTGCATCGTGTAACCATAGTTTGGGTTGTTCTTTCCTAGGTGCATAACTTTGCACTTGTCCACATTAAATTTCATCTGCCATTTTGATGCCCAGTCTTCCAATTTATCAAGATCCTCTTGCAATTTTCCACAATCCTCTTGGGTTTTAACAACTTTAAATAGTTTTGTGTCATCTGCAAATTTGATAACCTCACTCGTTATTCCACTTTCCAGGTCATTTATGAATATGTCAAAAAGCAGCGGACCCAGCACAGATCCCTGGGGTACACCACTATTCACCTTTCTCCATTGGGAAAATTGGCCATTTAGCCCTACCCTCTGCTTTCTATCTTTTAACCAGTTCCTGATCCACAATAGTACACTGCCTCCTATCCCATGACTCTTTAGTTTTGCCAAAAGTCTCTGATGAGGGACCTTGTCAAAGGCTTTCTGAAAGTCCAGATACACAATATCAACCGACTCACCTTTGTCCACCTGATTATTCATTCCTTCAAAAAAAACATAACAGATTAGTAA